ACCAGCCACTCCTCGGAAGGATGGTTGGGCAATCTCCTTCTGTAGTGATACTGCCTCAGAAACCCAAGGAGGGCTCGCTATGAGTCAGATCCGACTCCACAGCAGTGAGTTTGGTTCTTTTTGTTTTTGGTAAATCTTTATAGAAGCAGATTGCCTCATATTTCTTCCATGGAGTGGCTAGCAGGTTCAAACTGCCAATCTTTTGGTTAGCAGCCAGATGTCTTAACCACTATGCTACCAGAGCTCCTTGGAAACCTATGAGGTAATTATCCACATTTGCTGATGAGGAGACTGAGGCTCAGAGGATTAAAGTAACTGTATCAGTCATAACCAGCAATATGGGCAACAGCAATGAATAATGGAATGACTAAGCCTGGTCATTAGGAGACCAGGCTTGTATCTTTGTTCTGCCATTTGTGGCTATATGATCTTGGATAAGTAATTTTCTTTCTCTGGGGCTTAATTTCCTCATCTTTAAAGTAATGTGGTTATTAGAAAGTCTCTGAACTCCATTAAAATGGTGTAATGGATAAGGCATTTGGCTGCTAATCAGAAGGTCAGTGGTTCAAATCCACCAGCCACTCCGTGGAAGGAAGATGGGGCAATTTACTTCCAAAAAGATTTACAGCCTCAGAAACTCAATGGGGGTTGGCATAAGTTGGAATTGATTCAATGGCAGTGAGTTTGTTTTTGCTTTTGTTTTGAGAGCTCCCTCATATGCCTGATACTCTATGAGGGAGGAGGTAAAGTTTAATGGTTGAGTAGGGAAGGAGTTCTGGAATTAGATGGACTTACTGGTTATTTGACCCTGAACAAGTGAAATAGCCTCAGTAATTTCATGGTATCGTGGAGATCTTAGAGAGCCCACCTCATGGAGTTATTACGAGGATTAAGAGAACACATGTAAATGAAGTACATTGCCTAGTAAAGAGTACATGTTCAGTAAATGTTAGCAATGATTATTATTTGTTCTAAGAGGCAGAGCTGGCCCTCTTTGTACCACAGCACTTGCATGTAACAGACACAAAAACTCACTGCCATCAAGTTGATTCCGACTCATGTGACCCTATAGGACAGAGTAGAACTGCACCATAGGGTTGCCAAGGCTGCAAATCTTTACAGAAACAGACTGCCTCATCTTTCTCCTGCATGGTGGCTGGTGAACACTTAAGCACAGCAGAACCCAATTCTGTCCAAAGAGAGGTCTTCAGAAGAAAGGGAGCGTTTCTTTTTGTAAAGCTGCAGAATAATATCTAAGAATCTCTTAAAAATCAGAAGCTATATGGTACACGGGAAAGAAAGAACCAGACAAACAAAGCTCAAAAATCCAGCTTGGTTTCTTACTAGCTGTGTGGCCCTAAGCAGGTTACTACACCTCCCCATGTCTCAGACTTTTAATTTGTAAAGTGGGCATAATATCCATTTTGTAGGGCTCTGGTAGCATAGTGCCTAAGGCACTTGACTGCTCACCAGAAGGCTGGCAGTTCAAACCCACCAGCCACTCCTCGGAAGGAAGGTTGGGCAATCCTTCTTCCAAAGTGATGACTTCCTCAGAAACCCAAGGAGGGGTCGCTATGAGTCAGGGCCGACTCGACGGCAAAAAAAAAACAACAACAAAAAAAACAACAACAGGGTTACTCTAAGGCTTGAATGAGAGAACTGTGTAAAGTATCCAGCACAGCACCTGGCATACATTAGATGTGCAAGAAAGTACCAGAGATTAGTTGGGCCAAGTACTGGTCTCTTTGGCTGCTCTTTGGTATTTAAGCCTGAAGACCATGTGTTCTCTGCTCCTAGGTCTTCAGACCAGTGAAGATGCCAAGTTTTACGCCCTCTCAACCAGATTTAAGCCATTCAGCAATGAGAATGAGACTTTGGTGGTTCAGTTTTCAGTAAAACATGAGCAAGGCATTGATTGTGGTGGTGGATATGTGAAACTCTTCCCTGACACCCTGAACCAAGAGGATATGCATTCAGAGTCTGAGTATTACATCATGTTTGGTAAGCTTATTGATATAGGCCTCTGTGTGCCTCAGGAGGTCTTAATGAGAGTCACTGTCATTGAAGAAAAGG